TAAGAATCACTAATATCTGGATAGTATAATTCATTTTCATTCAGTTATATACCTATATGATCCCATATGGTCATAAAATTTCAATAAATATTTAGGAAATATGTTCATTATGTCAAACAATGAATTGTTAAGACAACAGAAATATACTCCAAGATAAGTAATTTAGTCCAAGATAAAATCATTTTTCTATTTGATGAATTACTATCAAACTTTCTTCACTTTCTCATTTTTAGGTTTTAAAAGATAATCAAGCAAATAACTTTACCTCTTGCTGAATACAAATATTCACTCTTGAGTCAATAACCAAGGCACAAATGCGAGGTACGAAACTTTCCACTACTTGTTTTTTACCTGAATAAAAGTGTTAAATTATTGATAAATATTCATTTTAAATCCTTTTAAATGGAAGTCTTTTCTCATATAAGTTAATGGAAAGGATATACTAGTGCAGTTCAGAAGAAAGCCCTCTGGCCTGGGCATCAGGAAACATGAAAATTAAATCCTAGTTCTGTCACTCACTAGCTATGTGGCCTTGAAAAAAAATACCACTCAACAGATGTGACTGATCTTAACGCTATCAAGGGAATAACTCCAGATCCAGCTTATTTATGTAAATAAAGAAGTTTTTTTTTTTTAGATGAAGTAAATATAGTTCAAAAGTGGAAATTTCTATTTTGAGACTTTTACAAAAATTGGCCTCATTAATTTTTAGTCATACCTCAAAAATTCTTATAGACCCATAAAGACCATTAATATATCTTGACCTTGTGAAGCTCTAGATGATTTGAGCTACTTTTAAATTAACCCATTTTCAAAATATGAGGCTTTGTCAATACTAAATATATTCAGAGGAATTTGCTACATGCCATTTCATAGTACAAGTTTTAAATATAACTTTAAATAGAAATACTGCAAGAGCAAATGCACAACTTTCCAAAGTGACTACATTGAAAGGAAAAAAACTCAGATAAAAAGATATAATGATTTACTTTAAAAAAAAATCAGTTGAATCACTTTACAATTGCTGGTACTTTAGGATTATTTTAGCCCTTTAAGAATTTAGACTAAATTATTATGTTACCTGCAAAAAAATCAATGAAAAGGTAACAGTAGCCATTATTTAAACCAATGACAATTCTTTTAAAACATTTTGGCTTTGAAGGCAGTGCATAGTTTTATTTATGAACAGTTCACCAGCCTCAATTACCAGTCCTAGGTAAGTTTTCTTCCAACCAACAGAGATAAAAGAACTTGGGTCTGATTGCTTGGCACAAATCACTTGTCAGCCACAAGTAAAAGGATTAGTAGTAACATGTTCTGTATTTTCAGTTTTTCACTGAAAATTTTATTCTAATTAGATCAAGGGTTGGCAATATATGGCCCACAAACTAAATGCAACTAGTTGACTGTTTTTGTATGGCTATATTATTCATCAGCAGGTGGTCTATGGAAAATATTTGAATCTATCATGTTTTATTGAACCAGTGGTGCCAAAGATGAATTTCATTCATTCTTATAAACTTACCTTCATCATTGACATCATGTATAACCTGAAAAAAAGTAAATATTTAATTGACACTTTACTATCTTCTATTATAAATCATTGCAAACAGTATTAAAATGACAGATTACATTTTAACTCACAGCATAATTATTTATTTTTTATCTATTAACTAACCATTTAATTATATTAACCAGGATAAATATACAATATGAATAGACTCACTAACCAATCTGTTAGTGACCTTTACACTCAGGGAATAGAGAACAAAAATTGTTTTCTAAATAAACACATGCTTTATGACATCAGTTAATCAATGAGATTTTTACCATCAAAAGATCGAAAAAGTCTTCTATCATATTTATAACAGCTTCATCTTTTGAATTTCTTCGACTTAGAATAATCTCCTTGGATTTTTCAAACCAGGCAACCATGTATAAAAAAGGAATTAACACATTAGTTACTTTGATTCCATTTTAATAATTTTAAGAATGTATTTATCTACCTTTATATCAACAGTAAACCTAGGAATAAAGAGACATGAAAAATAAAATTCCAGTATTGTATCACAATAACTTTATGCTTTTAAACATCTTCCTTGCTTTTGTTTTTTCATTGTTGTTAACTCACCATATTTTCCCATTGTTTAAGATGGGAATAGATGAAGTTAACCTTAATTCTGGGTAAGAACCTATTTCCCCCTTCAAATTCCTAATTCAGGTACATTTATGATAATAGATAAAAATCAATTATCACCACAATTTAGATTATTTTTGTATCATTACTATTTGAAAAGTTTTAGTATTATTTTACCTTAATCAATTCAGACATTGAGTACATACTACATCCCAGGTACTGATCTAGGTGCTGGTTATACAGCAATGAACAAAACAGACAAAAATCGATATCTTACATTCCAGCATGGGACACAGATAATAAATAATACAAAAACAAAGTTAGATAGTAATGAGGAAGAGTTAAAGAGAAAATAAATCAAGTAAAACCTCTAAGGAACCTTGTGATCTTACACTCACATGATTATCAAGATGCCTGTGTACAGAGTTTTCTTGTGACCTTTATATTTGTAACATATACCACAAATTATAACAAATTTTCTTTTCGAAGTTTTATATAAAGTTCCCAAATTTATTTTTTAGCAGTTTAGAACATTTCTAATTTCATTAGAAGGTATATTTTATCATGTTTCCTTCACCTGAATATGTGACATATTCTATACTTATCTTTTGGACTAGTCCTTGTTTTATCATAGTTAAAAGTCCAGCTTGCCCCGATACCCTGATATTTTTGCCACATCTTCCAATAGAAACCAAAATGGTTGAAATAGTTTGGATATCCTTTTTATTAAGTTCCTGAAATGAAAAGTATATATTTAAACTTTTGCAAACACAAAATAGTATGAAATAGGCATTGGGCTAGGTACATATATTTCTAATCTTCACAAATCCTGAAAGGTAGCCATTACTCATCATCTCCATATTGCAAAGGATGAAAGTGTAGTTCAAAAGAGTAACCTGCCCAATGCTACCCAGCCAGTGAAGGAAAACTCAGGACAAAAATTAAGATCTGTATAAATTTAAGAAAATTTATACTACGATACAATGAATCAGTTACCTTCCATTCTAAAAAGCTCCATGTATTTAACTAAAGATCCAAGAAATTTTTATTCAATCTCTTAGATTCATAATAAATCTCAAATATGTGGGAGATTATCAATAATCACCTTTTCTCATGTATGAAAATGCCCTAGATATGTTAAATCAAATCCAAGGTTTTGGTAGATTTTTTGTTTATTTTTGAGAGCATCCAGCATCGTCTATGTAACATCAAGAATATGCTGATAGGGTTTTTGTTTGTTTTAATTATTATGGGTACATAATAGTTGTATATCTTTATAGGGCACATGTGATTTTGATACAGGCATACAATGTGAGTTAATCAAATTAGGGTAATTGGGGTATCCATCGCCTCAGGCATTTGTCGTTGCTTTGTGTTAGAAACATCCCTATTCCACTCTTTTAGTTATTTTAAAGTATACCCTAATTTATTATTGACTATAGTCTATTTCATGCTATCAAATATTGTTCAGTTGATCTAACTATATTTTTTACCCATTAACCATCCCCACTTTTTATTCCACCTTCCCGCTACCCTTCCCAGCCTCTGATAACCATCATTCTACTCTCTGTCTCCATGAGATCAATCGTTTTTAATATTTAGCTCCCACATATGCGTGAGAACATGCGAGATTTGTCTTTGTGTTTGCCTCACTTAACATAATGTTCTCCAGTTCCATCTATGTTGTTGCAAATGGCAGAGTTTCATTCTTTTTGTGGCTACATAATACTTCATTGTGTATATGTACCACAATTTCTTTATCCATTCATCTGTTGATAGACAGGTTGATTCCAAATCTTGGCTACTGTGAATAGTGCTGTAATAAACATGGGACTGCAGATATCTTTTTGATATACTGACTTCCCCTCCTTTGGATATATACCTAGCAGTAGCATTGCTGGGTCGTATGGTAGTTCTATTTTCAGTTTTTTGAGAAACCTCCATCCTGTTCTCCACAGTGGCTGCACTAATTCACATTCCCACCAACAGTGTACTAGCATCCCGCTTTCCCCACACCCTCACCAGCATTATTGCCTATCTTTTTCATAGAAGCCATTTTAACTGGGGTGAGATGATATCTCATTGTAGTTTTGATTTGCATTTCTCAGATGACTAATGATGTTGAGCATCTTTTCATATACCTGTTGGCCATTTGTATGTCTTCTTTTGGGAAATGTCTCTTCAGATCCTTTGCCTATATTTTATTTAGATTATTTCTTCCTATTGAGTAGTTGGAACAGCTTATGTATTCTAGTAATTAGTCCTTTGTCAGATAGGTAGTTTGCAAATATTTTCTGCCCTTCTTGGATTGTCTCTTCCCTCGTTGATTGTTTCCTTTGCTGTGCAGAAGCTTTTTAGCTTGTTGTGATCCTATTTGTCCAATTTTGCTTTGGTTGTCTGTGCTTTTGGGGTATTATTCAAGAAATCATTGCCCAGACCAATGTCCTGAAGTGCTTCTTCAATGTTTTCTTTTAGTAGTTTCATAGTTCCAGATCTTAGATTTAAGTCTTTAATACATTTTGATTTGATTTGTGCATATGGTGAGAGATAAGGGTCTAGTTTCATTCTTCTGCATATGGATACCCAGTTTTTCCAGCACAATTTATTGAAGAGACTGTCCTTTCCCCACTGTATGTTCTTGGCCCCCTTGTTGAAGATAAGTTCACTACAGATGTGTGGATTTATTTCTGGGTTCTCTATTCTGTTCCATTGGTCTACATTGTCTGGGTTTATGCTAGTACCAGCTCTCTAGTACAATTTGAAGTCAGGTAATGTGATTTCTCCAGTTTTGTTCTTTTTCGCTCAGGATGGCTTTGACTATTCTGGGTCGTTTTTGGTTCCATATACATTTTAGGATTATTTTTTATATTTCCGTGAAGAATGTCATTGATAGGTTTTTTTTTAAAAATAACAGATCAAGTTGTTTAAACTTCAAACAGATAAACTATTTTTTCCCAGTTTAGGCAATGGTAATCCTATGTAAAACCAACTTTTTGCATATTATATTTGGGAAATAACATTCCAATATGTTCAGACTCCTTGAACAACAAAAAAAATTAAGCAAATGGTGAAATAAAAATGAATTGTATACAGGTAATTATAAATTAGCTTGCCCAAGCCTTTCTATTTATTTTTTTTCTGATGGAGTACTTCTTCCTAGAAAATAGAGTTCAATATAATCATTTTAATAGCCAATCAGCAAAAATATTTACCCTGCATATAAGGTTGTCCAACTTGTACAAAAACTGTTTGCTGCATTTAATCTTCACATCTTCACAAACAGCAATTTGTAAAAGTGTTCTCAAAGGTTTAAAATCATTTTTTCTTAAAGCATCATCGAGGCATTTTTCCAACTGCTAGAGAAATAGAGTTAATGGCACATATATTGAATCAAAACCAAAATTAATCACCTTATGTAATCTAGTAATTCGAAAACGGTTTTCACATGAAAACTCTCAAATGAGTTCATAAAATATCAATTCACTTACTTAAAAATCCCTGTCCATTATTAAATTTGGAGTAATTGAGTTAGAGATTAACACATTAACTACCATGTGAGTTGTATTTAATTCAAGCTAGTTTTGAGCCCGGGGCCTTATGAAGCAAAACCCTGTAGTTGGTTTGTGAAAATCTTACTTGTTAATGTTCTTACTGTTACAATTAATATTGACAATTTAATTCTAAAAATGTAGATTGCGTTGCATATAACTCATGCGCAGAAAACAATAAAAATAACAAATTATTAAGGATTGTTTTGTTTTAACAAAACACCATGGCCCCAAGGAAAAAAAATTTTTCTAGTGTGGCAGTCAATGTGTTAGGCCTCTTTGATAATATCAATATCAAGACTCTAAGTAGGGAAAAAAATTTACTAGTATTTCCAATTCCATACCCTTTTATTGCTAAAGTCATCATTATATTGAACTCAACAAAAACTTGATGAAACACACACAAGTAAAATAAACTTTACAGTAACTAATACTTAATACCATGAGTAAAAACCCAGTGTATCTGACTAGTAACCTCTTCCATTTAAATTGTAAAGAAAAATGAATAAAGACAGGCAAAAGTATCTTTTTGAAACTATACCAACCAATATACCTTAAGCATTACCCTTATAATCTTTACAAAATCTGCCATCCCTATTAAAGTACAACTTCATTAATAAGGAATTTTCATACTATAATCTGATCGCCAAGCTGATATGGTAGTGAATTGCATACATGCTAAATAGATTATTAAAATTTACATTTTGCCCAAATGAAAATATCTTAAAAATTTAAAAAACTTGACATACAAATATCCAAGTATAAGCTATATATTATTTAATAATTCTTTTCAATGTAAAACATATATGTAAACAACCAGCATCTTTAATATTTCACAAATATTCTTATAGCTTTTAAAACTTATCTATTGAACAAATGAAAAGACTCTTAAATTACTCTATTCCTGACCATTTCATAAAAAACATGTATAGAACTGAATACCTATAAGTAAACAAAAAATGATTTTAGGAATTAAAATACTTCCTTTCAGGCTAGGACTACCTACCTGGAGATCTGGTCTTATTGGCATTTTGACTGCATTTAAAAACAGCAGGACAAAACAAACACCTATAAAAGAAAACATATTTTCTGTGTCCTACAATCTGTTTATGTATTTACAGTTTAAAGATCTTGACACATAAATAAGCACTGTCGCTTGTATCAAAGGCAACAGATATTGTTTAAGTTCCTCACTGGACATTTTCTTTTCCTGAGTATCAAATTTCACATTTGAGTCTAGATGAAGAAGTTTCTAGAGAAAAGCCTGAAGATCACTTATTCAAGCCCTCTCTTTTTATAGATTACTTAAATTAACGTCAAAAGTCCTGCCAATGGCCGGGCATGGTGGCTCTATCCTAGCTCTCTGGGAGGCCGAGGCGGGCAGATTGTTTGAGCTCAGGAGTTCGAAACCAGCCTGAGCAAGAGCAAGACCCCGTCTCTACTAAAAATAGAAAGAAATTAATTGGACAACTAAAAATATATAGAAAAAAATTAGGCGGGCATGGTGGCGCATGCCTGTAGTCCCAGCTACTCGGGAGGCTGAGGCAGGAGGATCGCTTGAGCCCAGGAGTTTGAGGTTGCTGTGAGCTAGGATGATGCCACAGCACTCACTCTAGCCCGGGCAACACAGTGAGCCTCTGTCTCAAAAAAAAAATAAAAAAAATAAAAAAAGTCCTGCCAAAAGGTCATGAAGCTAGTTAGTAAAAGAATACAAACCTGGATCTCCCTCACCAGTGTAATTCCTGCTATACTTGTTCCACCTTTGGGAACAAAAAGAAAAATACTCTTGAATTAATGTCTCAGTGAAATTCAGGCTATTAAAATATTCAAGAAGGGAAGAATATGCAAATACATCAACAAAGAACAGAATCAAAATATGCGAAGAAAGGAGCAAGAAAAAGATCACCTACATACATTTCATACGTCCAGGAAGGTGTTCAGGAAAGAAAGAACCCCCAGTTTCTGGCTGAATGCCCAAATCAAGGGGAGGAGATCACTTTCCCAAAATGCTTTTGGGTCTCTTAAGACCATGGGATGCAAATACAAATGACCATCCCAAATTGCAATATGGCTTTTTAATAGAAAATATTCTCAAGGTTCAAATACAGATTCCATGCTCATGAATACAGGGTCAAAAATAGATAAGTTACTTCAAACAATCCTATTTAGTTTGTTTCTGACCAGGGGAGACATAAAGGTCATTTAATTTTCCCTGTTGTTAACACCTAAGGGATTAACATTATTCTTGGCAAGAAAATGCATATCATTGCTATAGTTATCCTCAAAAATCCTATACACCTATTTCACTTTGTTGAATATGCGTAAGTATTTTGACTGTCCTTTTTGGAATGAAGTACCAAACATTCTGAAAGCAACCATGTGTCTGACAGTATAATAACGTCTAATAATTATGTTTTAACCATCTCATTTTAATTACAGAAATGTTTTTAAAAATCTGATATGCTACCAATAATGTACCTAAGAAGTACTTGTTGGCATCCTCAATAAAATAAACATTTATTTCTTATATATATATAAAAAGATAACCTAAACAGTTTTTCCCTTCAAAGGAGAATGAATATAGGAAACAACTGGCTTACATTAAGCACCACCTACCATCTTAACAAACACATCTAACATCTCCAAATGCAACTGAAGGTTAGTTCTAGACAGGAAAAGAAATAATTGCTTCTTTTTGTAGACATCATGACTAGAATAATTTTAAAATAAACTATGCTATGAAGAACTTTGTAACAGAATCACCAGAAAATACAAGAGAGAGGTAATTAATTAATCCAAGAGGAATATAGGACACTGTATCCATAAGAAAACAAAAAGCATTATTCACAGTCTACTTTGTTGCAGGCATGCCAGTAGAGAAATTTAAGTGCCAATTAAGACATGCATATAAGGCATACGAAAGGTGTGAGTAAAAAGAAACAAAAATCTTTTGCATTTCTAAATGTAACTGAAGATAAACTACAGGGGGAAAAATTTGATCCCTAGAGAAACATTTATTCCATGTGCATAAGGAACTGGGTATAAATATGTTTTTGCAGCACTGTTTTGAGTGACAAAATTTCAAAAGTATTTAGATGGGAGTTGGGAATGAGAAGGAGTGAGAGGAATGAATAAATAAAATGTGGTACAGTACATAATTGTGTAAATAAATATAATAAAATGAACCAGGACTACAGATACCTGTGGTAAAAGAATTTTATGTGATTAAAACCATGTTGCCAAGTGATACATACATGTAATGCCATTTATATGAAACAAAAGCTTTGTATTATTTATTATTACATATCTGATATATGTAAGTATATATGTATGTGTATAGGAAGAGTATATTCACCCACACCACTCAAGACAGTTGGGGTGTTTGTCAGCCCGCTGGGGAGGAAGAGTAGGAAGGTGCACAGAACTGGAACTGGCTGTTTATCAAAAGGAAACTTTATTTTTATTTGTAATTTACACTTTTATGCCTTTTTAAAAGTAAATACTTAAAAAATTTAAAGTGTGGGGATCTAAAAAAGGAGATCAGTAAAAATGTGAGTTATTGTAAGGGAAGTAAGATGACCAAGCTGTGCAGGTAAGCAGCTAGAAGTCCAGCTGCTTCATCCAAATCTATCGAGGACCTATGGTTTAACCCTATTCTGGTGTGTTTGTCTGCTTGAGTTTAAATATCAGAGGGACAACTCTGGGTCTGTGCCTAGCTGGGACTTCCAGGATAGCAGCAATTATTTCAGGATCTCTAAATAGTTGGTGGCCATGTTGTCACCCTGACACAGAGATTCAGCCAGGAGAACATTGGAAATGCAGGGATCCACTCTTTGTCTCCCCAGTTCCCAAGAAGAAGCTGGCCTACTACTTTCCCTTGGGCTTCACTTTTTCATTCCCCTGGGGCCATCACAGACAATAAGAAATTTAGCCTGGTCCTGTTTGAGAACATTATCATATGACGCATTGTTACAGGATATTAATTTGCGTGTGTGTATGTATATGTGTGTGTATGTGTATACATAAAACAATTTGCTTCATAGGTAGAAAAGTTAGAAAAAATGGGAAAAGTACTATCTCAAATATAGAGGTAAGAAATATGTACTGAAAGTATTGGATTAATGAATCATAAAAGGAGCAATTTAACCTAGGGAACCCTGAACATCCACCACTTCCACAAGAATATAGTCCTGAGGGCTTCTATAGAGGGTGGTTGTTTTCAGGAATGAACATTCCTTGGGCTAGAAAGAACATGAGGAAATGATCCAGAATATCGCAAAGAAATAAAATGATAAAATATATATTTAAAAAGTTGAGAGATGCAGATATTCCAATATCTATACAATAAAAATTGCAGAAATTAACAAAGATAGAAAAATAAAAATAGTGAGGTGGGAACAGCTGAATAGTAGCCAAGAACTTTCTCAAATATAAACATCCACAAATTGAAAAAGCCCACTGAGTCCCAAGGAAGATAATTAAGAAAAAGTATATCTAGATGCACTATGATGACATTTCTGAAGAAGAATAAAAGTGAAAATCTTAAGTTACTAGAGCAAAACCAAATAAAAGCATGCAAAAGAATCAACATAATAGATACTTGGATCTCTGATCATGATGCAGTAAATTTAGATGTTAGCTAAAAAGGTTGATTCAAACTTACTATATATTCTGAAATATATGTACATTTGAATATCTATGGGATATAAAAAGTTAGAAATTACAAAATATTTAAGTAAACCACATAAATATAAAAATCTATAAGATGTAAACAGGGCAACACTTAAAGTGCAATTCATAGACATACTAAAAGGTGAGAAACAACAGAACTAGCCAAAAGAAACAGACTCACACAACCTCTGGATGGTAGAGTTACTAGACAATTTAAAATAGCTATGATTACTGTTTACTTAAAGATTACAATGCCCCACTTAAAATATATAGCTTGGCTGAATGGATAAAAAACAAAACAAATACATAGTGTCTCCAAGAAACTCATTTAACTCACAAAGATTCACAAAGACTCAAGGTAAAGGGGTGGAAAAAAATATTCCACCAAATGAAAACTAAAAGTGAGCAGATAAAATAGACTATGGTTAAAAAAAAGACAAAGATGGTCATTATATAATGATAAAAGGATCAATTAACTAAGAAGATATAACAATCCTAAATATATGCACCTGACACAGGGCCTCCTAGATTCATAAATTCTACTACATCTAAGAAATATTACTAAACGGCAACATCATAATAGCCAGAGACTTGACCACTCCACTGACAGAACTAGACAGATCACTGTGGCAGAAAATCTACAAAGACTAGACTTAAACAGGACTCTAGAAAACAGGGACCTAACAGACATTTATAAAACATTCTACCCAAAAACTGCAGAATATACATTCTTCTCATCAGTACATCAGACATTTTCTAAAACAGATCATGTTAGGCCACAAAACAAGTCTCAGCAAAATTTAGAAAAATCAAAATCATACAATGTTATCTTCTAAGACAACAGCGGGATAAAACTAGAAATCAATTCCAAGATGAACTCTCAGAACTACACAAATATGTGGAAATTAAACAACCTGCTTCTGACCAATAATTGGGTCAATGACAAAATCAAAATGGAAATAATTTTGAATTGAATGACAAATGTAACACAAGCTTCTAAAATTTCTGGAATATAGCAAAAAGCAGTGCTAAGAGGGAAGTTGATAGCCTTAAATGCCTACATCAAACAGACAGAAGGATCACAATTATCTAATGTCACATCTCAAGGAACCAGAAAAAGAAGAATAAACCAAACCCAGAGCCGGCAGAAGAAAACAAATAGCAAAAATCAGAGTAGAACTAAATGAAATGGAATCCCCCCCCAAAAAAAGTACAAAGAATCAATGAGACAAAAAGTTGGTTCTTTGAAAAGATAAACAAAATCAATAGATCACTAGCTAGATTAACCAGAGAAAGAATTTAAATAAGCTCAATCAGAAAAAGGAGACATTGCAACTGATATCACAGTAATACAATATA